ATTATATTTGATGATGGTGGAAGAGATGCACAAAAGCCTTTTGTAACCAACTGATACACTTTCTACAGTATGTAAAATTGTATGTTTGTTTTGAAAATAAATTTTTTTTTAATTAAAAAAAGAAAACAGTTGACAGAATGCCATTAAGTGGTTTTTCTTTAAATTTTGGAATATTTTATATAAAAGGATGCTAAAATAATTATAGTCAAATGAAGTTTGAGGTATGATGATAGTAATATATATAAATATATTTGATTTAAAATATATAAGTTGATATGAATTGTAGGTGATAACTGGGGAATGGCTGCACGAAAGTTTTTTGTAACCAATTGACACACTTTCTACAATTTGTAATGGAAGATGGTTTTGTGTTTTTTGTGTTTTGTTTGTCTGTGTTTATTGAAAAATAAAAAATTCTTATATAAACAAAAACAGATCAAGACTTATTCCTACCGTTCACAAATATTAGGTTGATGGTTTTACTCAAAGTTCCATGTTTAAATCCAAGACGGCATTGGTACTGTCCAGCATCTCCAGAATGGACATTGGATAAAGAGAAAGAGCTATTGTTGTTTATGTAAGGCCCCGTCATGAGAATATTATTCTTAAGCCATTTCCAAGACTGGACTTTTGGAATCTCCTGATCTCTTTTTTCTTGCAGGTCAATATTCAAAGGACAGGAAAGGAGGATGCTGCTGTTGATAGTGGCAAAATGGAACTCATCCAATGGATTGGAAAAACCTGATTTTATGTCCAACCAAAATAGAAAGTAACATATGATCAGAATTGTGTGCATTGCTGCTTTTCCACTGTAGAAAAAGACTATGGCCCTTTCCCCTCTACAGTAGTGACTTAAAGTACTAATCTTGAGATGGCAGAAAACATTTGCTTCCCTCTGAGCTAATCCCTACTCTGTGGCTGATTCAGGTTACTGCTGAAAGGGATTTTCTTGTTTTGTGAATGTGACACTCATTGATGGAAAAGTCATCAAAATAAAGAACAGGGAAATTGTAAAAAAAAAAAATCAACACATTCCCAGTTCAAGCTCCCTCATTGTTTTGGGGATACCACAAGGGCCACTGAGATGCGTAACAATAATTTTGCTTGGGCATGCTGGAAAAAGAGGTTCTGAAGTTTTTACTGCAACATTTTGACAAAAAATATATCTGATAAAATAACTATAGACAGTGGGCAGTAGTGAACAGAGAACAATAGCATTCTATCCTATCTGTAACGTAAATGTGAGTTAACATAGGATGTAAATTCCAGAAAAAGTCAGTGATGAAGTAACCTTATCTTGGCACAATGCAGTGATATTGGAAGCAGTTAGCAGAGCAAATGATGCTTGATGCTGAACTTTTTATGAGGAAAGACTTTGAGAGTACCCAGGTTTCAGGCTCGTTGAACCAAATTTAATGACTTCTCTTACCTAGTACTTTGACATTGTAGGAGAGGTTGATATTATAATCGGGATGAGAGATGTGACATTTCCATATCCCATTATCCTGAACTGTAAGGTTTAATATCTGTAAGCTACCCATGTGCCGTTTCCATCGTGGCTCGTTCCCTGTTACTTTGGTATTGTAGGGTTCAAACCATTCAATCGTGGCATCTTTGACAGGAGACACACTCAGCTTTAAAGTATCACCTTGCAGGAGGTATCCACTTTTAGATCCGGTAACTGTGAAAGAAAGAAGGCCTACTGGTCAATTTTCCTTCCCATGCCTCTTCCCAAGGATAATTTATTTGTTTAATTACTCATTCAATAGCAGGGAGAAGAAGAGATAGACAGAGACAAAGAGGCAGATTTCATGATCTCTGTTCCACAATTCACCTGTCCACACTTCGATATCATAAGTAGCCACCTGCTTTCCATCCACATCACAGACATATTGTCCTGATTCTGCTTTTGGCAGTTCTAGAGAAAAAGTCTCCTCATCCTTCAATATGTATGTTACAGACCTTTCACCTTTGAAGAAAAGAGAACTGGATGAAATTAAACCATAAACACAAAGACTCATATCTCTTTTTATTGGCTATATGTGGAAGGGTTCGACCAGTTTTACCTTTAAATACTTGGTGTTTCATTTTCCGTACCAGAAGTCTTCCATTATGTTTCCAGACTATTCTGTTTGGAGTGCTCTGGTCAGTTTTACTTCGACACTGAAGAAAGACAGACTTGCCAGCAGCAACATTTATCTTTTCAGCCCTTGTGGAAAAAGTTTCCCCCAGAAGAGCTAAAAAGTCAAAATAATGGAAGAAGAAAGAAAATCAACGAGAAACAAATGAGATTTCCTCAACACTGAATTATGGATGTTTCTGAGCCCAAAGTGTGTAATCTGAGTCACTGTACTCAGTCACTATATTGGCCTTTTATTTTATGTAACTTATTATGTTTTAACGTGTCTGCTGATTTACTCTGGAGTTTTTGGAAAGTCTGTAATTAGCAAAAACAAATTGTCACTGTACAAGGAATTTGTTTTGAAGCAGGGTCAAGGAGAAATGAAGAATAAATTGATCAGCCACCTAGACAAAGAAGATAAATGTGCACATCGTTATTTTTATAAGCTATCATGAAAGATAGGTTATATCTAGATTTTTAAACCAAAGGAGAGTAATTGGATTTAGTGGTGATATAGCAAACCTGCTGGTAATGTGAAAATTCTGTTCTTTGTTGTGAGCATAGATATCAGTGCCCTACTTCTCAGTGGGCTTTTTCACACCAAGGCCATAGAAAAAGATTAAAAATTAGGGATGTGCTGCATTTTGGATGCAAAGTTACAGAGGTGGTTCAGAGTGGACATGAGCCCACACATCATATCAGTCAGTGGCTGCTCTAAGAACCTGGCTTAGTGGTTAAGACATTGGGCTTGTCAGCTGGAAAGCTGTCAGCTCAGGTTTGAGACCTAAGCATCATGTGATGGGGTGAGCTCCTATCCTCGTCCCAGCTCCTGCCAACCTAGCAGTTAGAAAGCATGCGAATGTGAGTGGATAAATAGGTACCACTTTGTTAGGAAGATAACAATGGTCTGTGATGTCATGCTGGCCACTTGACTGAGGAAACGTCTTTGGACAACGCTAGCTCAATGGCCTTGAAATGAGCACCGCCACCCATAGTAGGCGGTGATTAGTGGACTAAAAATATCCACAGAGATTCCCATGCAATCCCAAGAAAATTGGAAGTTCAATTTAAGGGGACACCAACAAGTGAGTTTTAACTGATGGCTAGAGTCCATTGCATTTGGTCAAAAACTCTTTGGGTTTTTACAACTGCTTTATGTTTCTATATTCTACATTCTGCTACTTTTGAATATGAGTTTATTTCTGTTCCAGAATATCGGGGGAATACCAGAATATCGGGGGAATATCGGGGGAATACCAGATGATATTAGGCTTCTTTTTAGACAACAATTTCAGGGAGAGAGTTAAACCTGCATTGGCCAAAACCAGTAATGGATAGATTCACATTCCTCTCTCTGGACACTTCTTTCTTTCTTTCTCTT